CCCGTGCTGCTCCCCATGCAGCTCCCCGTGCAGCTCCCCGTGCAGCTCCCCGTGCAGCTCCCCATGCAGCTCCCCATGCAGCTCCCCGTGCAGCTCCCCATGCGGCTCCGAGGTCGCTGCAGCGCCAGGGCCTGCTCGACTGCAGCAGCTCTGACCCCCTGTCAGGTGGGAGGCTGCCCCGGGGTCCCTCCCTAACAGGTTTCACTAAACACAACTTCAAGGCTGGTTTCTTGCATAGGGGCAGTGTATTTTATCTTGCAATTACCGTGGTTTTAGCATACACCTGCACTGTGTTTTGGTTTTATTCTGATAAAAGGGACATCTACCCTTTCCTGGATAAGCATTTCCTCCCCTGCTTTTAAAACTGTGGGTATAGTATATATTTAAAGAAGATTTAATTGTAAGATCATCTAGCTTTCAGCTTTTGCATATTAGCTTTTCCTAAATTGCTCCCCTTTTGTGTGATTTCTTTCTTTCTTTCTTTTCCTCCTAAATAGCTGTCAGTACATTTGGACTGTGGACAGATGTTTCTAGCATTTGAACCACTCATCTTTAAGCTTGTAACCCATAAAACCTGCTTTTATAGCAGTCTGCATCTTTGGAATCCAAGCTCATAATTACTAAAGACTCCAGGACTTTTAGTTTCTTAAAATAAATAAATAAATAAAAAGAGAGAGAGAATGAGAAAAAAAGACAAGTCAAATGAATAATGGGGGCATATATAGGAGATGAATAATCACTAATAAAAGCCTCTAAAAAGAAAGTCCGTTACCTGTGGGTGGTTGTTCTTGGGGATTAGCTGTTAGCTCGTGGCAAGAGCCCGCTGCCCAACGTGCCTTAGGTGCATTCTAGAACGATATAAACGAGGCTGGTGCGGAGCCACCGCGTCGCGCTTCAGCTTTGCAGCTCGACGTGGCCCCGCTGGGCACCCGCGCTAGAAACGAGGCAAAATCCCTGCAGGGGCTTCCCCTCAAGGGGTAAAAGCCATTTGGCCATGAACTAACCAATACCAGTTAAAAAGAAATCCCTTTTTCTGGAGGAAAATAAATTGGCGTTGTTGTTATAACTTTGCAATAAGTGACTTTAAATAGCACCACAGAGTTCTACAGGGTTATGCAATAAATTAATTTACACTGCAGCCGTCTGTCATTAAAGAGATGCTTGTCTGATGTTTTGAGTCAATGAAAAAAATTGTGGTTGAGATCAATAGGCCAAGAATAATGGACTAAGGATGTGTTTATTTTTTTATAAGCATAAATTTGCATATAGGCAATCAATATTTAATCATCCCATAGGATTAATTTCTCAAGAAATCTGTAGGTTAGAGTTTTTTGGATAATGTACTGTTGGTTATACAAAAGCAGGCAGAGGGTGAATGTCCCTTCATTGGCAGGAATGAGAAGATAGTTTCAGCCGGCTGCAATAAAATGTTACTGGGTGATATCACAGGGTGATATTTCCCTTTCAATGATGTCTTGGAAGTGCATTTTGCTTTTCTCTTAGCTTTAGAGAAGACGAATTTCTAAATATTAAAAGGTGAATAGGAAAAAAAGAATAGTCCCTGTGAAGCCAGTTGTGCTCAGGATTGACTAAACTTAGATTTGATCTGTTAAGATAATTATAAGCTAGAGACACAATCATGAGAGTAAGTGCTCTTAGAGCTAATGTGTTTTCTCTCAGTGCTTTGTGAGTATTCACTAACTATTAGAAGAACATTATTTCAGCCTGGTCAAAGCAAGTTTCCAAAATTGTATTTGTCCTTTTTGCATAAGGAAATTTGTTTTGGTTGTAAGACTATTTCTCCTTCAAAAATTCCTTTTCAAATACTCGTCTGAGTGCTTTCTTGGCAATTGCAGGATTGCAGGAAACAATCTCATCTTTTAGTGCAGAAAATCAAATAATATTCTCTGGATTTCTCTATTTCTCTTACTCTTAAAGCTAGTAAAGGGGATGGAGCAACTCAACTCCAAGTTGGTTTCTCCAGTGTTTTTCCAAGCTAACTGCCGGCTGCATCTCGGCTTCCTTTGCAAGCAGGAGATGTCCAAGTAATGCCTTGTGCAAGCGCCGGGGGAGCCGCACGTCATTGCGGTTCCTGCTCATCCGTACGCACAGAGCTGGCAAGGAGGGAACACCAAATTCCTGTTAAACAAACTATCCATCGGGTGCCATCATCCGTTATGGTGGCTCTTGGTTTTTATGGATCAAGAGCTGTGGAAGAGCTGGCACCAAGCAGAATTGGTCAAATTAAATTTTTCATGGAAAAAATGCTGTAAATGCTCTTGTTTTCAGTATCTTCTTTATCTTTCATAACTCTGTGTAGCACAGCATCTCTGGGGAGCGTTGGCATTTCCCAGCTATGTACAGACAAAGTTGGGACTTTTTTATGAATGTTGTTCCTGATGACCTGGGTCATTTTAATGCTCGCGAGAGGGAAGAGCTGATGCTGCTTGGCAGCCCTGCACACCACTAGGCTGCAGCACGGCCGGGCTCTTTCCTCTTTCTTCCCAACTCTATGAATTTCAGCTTTGGGTCTGTTGGTATCACTGGGCACATAGTTGATTTGGTTTAAATATTGTAGATGAAGGGCCAGTTTCCAGCTCTTTTGATGTATGTTTCTTATTGTGTCTGAAAATTCAGCTTTTGGAACAAAAGGTTTTACATTTTTGATAAACATGAAGTTCTGTATTGGTGAGCATGGAATAAGCAAGACCTTCAATGCCTTGTTGAGTATAATGAGCTTAGGAGAACATCTCATTTTAACAGCACTACACTGCTACACCTCTCTTGGGATCGGTGGTAAAAAATTAATGATTTTTCCTTTGTTTTCAGAAGGAATTGTCAATAAGGAGGCAGAATATCTGCAGGAATATTGAAATGGCATGTCACTCTGCTGCCCAAAATGCACATGATTTCTAGTCGCTGGTAAAATAGTTAAAGGACAGGTGGAGACAAAGTGGCAATCTCTCCTTGTACCACTTCCTTCTTAATTGGATATTTTTTTCATTTCTAGATGAAGCATATAATTAAAAGAAACCTTATAGATTGTGCTGCTGAAAGCACTGTGCAGTCTATGAAGCATAAAAATCTATGCTTTGCGTTTTTTAATAAAATACCATCTTGCTTGCTTGTACTACCTTATTCATTCTTTAAAATCCATCTGTCCCGGGGCTTGCAAGGACAGCTAATAATTGCGTGCCGAGGCTGTTCACAGCTAACTTTTTTCTTCTGTGTGCTTTCAGGGAGGTAACCAGCCCGCAGGACCAGGAATTGGGCAAAAATTCACAAATAACCAGCAATTTTTTTTTTTAAAAAAAAAAAAAAAGGTGATGTAGCATTTTGCAAGTTGGTGTTCAGCTTCTGGCTGGGGGTGCGAAGACGCACGTCCCCACTCTCATGGACGCGTGATGGCAGCGCTTGGAGAGATGGACCTTCTTGAAGGAGGTCCCTGCTCCAGCTGGTGGCCCGGGACAAGGCGGCTCCCCATGCCCTGATCCCAGCCTCTTCCTCCTCTTGCTTCCAGGCTGGGCAGCAGCGGTGGTGGGAGCAGGAGATCACCGTCAACGGGAACATTCAGAGGGGAGAACTGATCACCTACAACCTCACAGAGCTCATCAAGCCTGAGGCCTACGAGGTGCGGCTGACTCCCATCACCCGCTTCGGGGAGGGCGACTCCACCATCCGCGTCATCAAGTACAGCGGTAAGATCACACACTGCCCATCAGGTACAGGATCACACCCTGCCCATGAGGTACAGCGGTAAGATCCCCCCCTGCCTATGAGGTACAGTGGTAAGATCACACCCTGCCCATGAGGTACAGCGGTAAGATCCCCCCCTGCCTATGAGGTACAGTGGTAAGATCACACCCTGCCCATGAGGTACAGCGGTAAGATCCCCCCCTGCCTATGAGGTACAGTGGTAAGATCACACCCTGCCCATGAGGTACAGCGGTAAGATCCCCCCCTGCCTATGAGGTACAGTGGTAAGATCACACCCTGCCCATGAGGTACAGCGGTAGGATCACCCCCTGCCCATGAGGTACAGCCGTAGGATCACACACTGCCCATGAGGTACAGCGGTAAGATCACACCCTGCCTATGAGGTACGGTGGTAAGATCACACCCTGCCCATGAGGTACAACCGTAGGATCACACACTGCCCATCAAGTACACCCGTAAGATCACACACTGCCCATCAGGTACAGGATCACACCCTGCCCATGAGGTACAGCCGTAGGATCACACACTGCCCATGAGGTACAGCAGGATGCTTGCAGCAGGCTAGGAAGGGCATCCTCTGGGCCAACTTTGTCTTGCAACACAAGCAAAAGAGAAGCAAAGTCTCTGAAAAGCAAAAAACCCCAAATCATAGTGAAATTTCTATGAAGTAGAAGAAAGAAATGAATAAATTAATCTTTCTTTATGAAGTATTTGTGAAGAGTTTGCTGTTATTCCAAATGCTTTGAAAGTCAATGAGGTTTCAGAAAAAAAAAATCTACAAAGCAAATATGTGGTGTTATGGAGATCTCAAACGAGTGTTTTGGCATCATCAAACTACTTTATTGTTTTGTTTTGTCCAGGATCAGCAGTTTTGAGGTATTCCTATTTGGATTTGAAAAACTGAAAAAAAAAAAGATAGCAACTCTTTCTGGACCCGTGCAAGTGTAAAAGGGCATTTCTGTGTTTTCCATCCCAAATTCATGGTGTGCCGCAGGTCTGTGTGTTATAATCAGATAGATAAGGTGCATTATTCTGTATGCCTCGCTGCTCCCACGGGTAGCTACAGCAGTGCTTGGTGCTATGCAGGTGTCCAAGCAAGCCCAAAGAGGGACAGCGTGTACAGCAGCTGGCCAACCTGCAGACCAACAATCACTCCCAAAAATCACTGAGAAGTAATTTAAAATGATGAATAAATTGGATAAATTTTAAATTTCTCATGCAAAACTTGTAGAATTATTCATGATCAATGATGAGCTCAACCCTATTCGGGTCCCTCTTAAATTATTTCTAGCATTCTGCCAATACCAAGGGGTGAAAAAATATCAGATTAAATACAAGTATCAGTTAGAAAGCGCACATCGCTCTAACCATCAGATAGGCTAGCAGTGGTGGTGGATGAGTCTTAGATTTTGCCTTCTGCGGAGTGTTTTCTAAGCATCCCTCCAAAGTTCACACCAGCAAAATCATAGTGCAAAGGAGGGCTTGTTTCCTCAGTGCGTTGTGTATGAGGGAAGAGGCGGTGGGCGTTCTCTGGCATTTTGCTGGAATTCCTCTTGGACTGCAAGTTTCCCTGGGCGTTTGCGTCGTGCCCCAGGTGGAGGGGACGCTTTGGGGGCAATAGGCAGCACTGTTCCTCTGGCGTCTACAAATTGGCAGTTTTAGAAATCGTGATCCAGATGTGAGTCAATAAGAGAAGCCAAAAGCCTGTTCCTTTACCGAGCTCCACGTGCCTCCAATGACAGCAGTGCCAGCAGACCGTTACCAGGCTAATTGTAAGGATGTTATAGCTCCCACTGTAAAATAATGATATCACGTATGTTAGTATAGTGCAAATTCGATACTTGTAATCGGAAATGTTGGAATCTGAGAAATGTGGTTAAAGGTCTAGTGGGATCCACAGCAGCAGGCTTGCCTAGATAGAAGTAATAATTATAAACATGGCCTGGGAAGTAAAATAAAAGATATGCAAAGGCTTCTTAAAAGAACCATGATAACATTTTTTTATTGTTTTCTTCTCCATTGCAATTCCTTTTTTTAATTTAATTTAATTTAATTTTAATTTTTGACCTTAGGCAAGGATGAAAGCATTTGAATCTTCATAATTTCAATAGAATTTTAACTGTATGTGTATATTTGAGAAGGATGCTGTGAAGTGTAGCAGGGTCAGCCTGTGTTTCTCACGCCATCACTTTAAAAGTATCTATTTTTGGAACATGTAACAATTTAACATCTTAAAAATCACTGAGGTTGGAAGGGTGCTGCTTTGATCCAACTCCCTGCTCAAGAGGAATCTCCTAGAGCAGGGCCAGGACCGTGTCCAGCTGAGTTTTGAATGTCTCCAAAGATATCTCCACAACCTCTCAGAGCAGCCAGTCCAAGGGTCTGATCACCCTTAGAGCAAAAAAGCTTTTTCTTATGTTTGAAATACACTGGTATACTTGTATTGCTGTTAAGAATTTGTGTTTTGAACACTTTTTTCTTATTTTTTTAAGCTTTAATCAGGCTAATGGGATTTCATTATGTTTTTTTAAAAAGTGCAGCCAGTGTGAAAAGCAGATTGGACACATGGTAATTAGAGTTGCTAAAAATGGTAGCAATGTCTTCTGCCTTTAATAAATGAATTAACTTTTGTGGTTGAATTTCAGCTTTGTACAAATAGAGGACAGAGAGTGTGTGTTTCATTGTGGCAGCTCAAGCTTGTCTCTCGTGGTGTGACAGTTTTGTGTGGGTACTGCACAGAAATGATGTTTCGGAATAGCTGAAAAGTGTGCAATAATCAACAAGACGTTTCCAGCGTCTTGTTTCTATTTTGCTTTACTAGACAGGAGATTTATTCTATGTGGTGCAAGAAGCTGGCTCAAATTCCATTAATGTGCCCTAACCTAGGCCTCCAGAAAAGTTGGAAAAAATATATACCCTTATGTTAGGGCAAAATCTACTTTGAACACAACCTGTGGTGTTTCAGACTCCAATGCTGTATGTTATTATTAAAGATAGGCCACGTAAGTACTACCCAGGATGGCTTTTTTTGTTTTTTTTTTTTTTTTGGAGGGGCACAAGCATTTTGGAGCAGAAACACTTCCTTTCCATGCATTATTTTCTCCTCTGTGCAGTGAAAGCCTGGAGAAAAGAGCAGTCTCTGCATTAGGAGCAGGGCTGAGTGTAGGAGCCAGACATAGCTTGACAAATTTCTGGTGGTTGCATATGTTCCCGTGCCAAGTTCACACAATTGGGGCAGTTGAAGAAACGCTAATGCCTGTTTTTTGGCCGGCACAGCACAGATCTGTCTTGCAGTAACAGTTCAAATGTAATCTCCATCACTTTACATAAATCCGTGTCAGTCTATCTGATACGAACTGGCTGTAAAACCCTCCAACTGCTCCCATTAGAACCTCAGCAGTCACTGTTTTATACATGCGCTTGTGTTTAAATATTTTTAGAGTTAATCAGTGATGAAACAAGCAAGTTAGGGTCCCTCCTCTGCAACAGGGAGGCCTCCAGGAGTCTATATAGGAGTATGCAGAAGCAGCCCTTGGGGCAGCAGCGAGCAGAGGACACTGGCCGAGTCCTTCTTGGTTGAGTGGTGCAAAGAGCAAAAGCTTCAGAAACTCCTCGCTTCTATAGGGGAGAGTGTACGGCTGCTTATAGGCCTAGGTAGCACAGGTGGGTAAGACCCAGGGATGGGCCATTCAGCCACTGTGGGACCGGGCCCCTCAGCTTGAGTGAAGCTTCTGGTTCTCACTGGAATTGCCAATTCCTATCACTTTTCAAGGGGAACGACATCACAGTGTGCTCTGCTTCCCTTAGCGTTATGTTTTTGTAGTTCCTAATGCCTGGTTTGCAGCAGTTTTGATGCTGGGGGTCATCACGCCGCCAGTGAAGGCTGCGTTCTGTGTCAGCCGAGCAAATGCCCGTTTTAGGAAGAGTCTGTGGGAAAGGTGACTGTCTTCATACATAACATTCAATGTATGTAATTAATACATTAAAAGAGGGTCAAGGAAAAAGCATTCTGGGCACAGGTGTGTGTTATATCGTAGATGAGTGCATGTCACCACAAAGTAAAGTCACCAGCAGGCTGGGTCTCCACCGGGTTTGACTCCCTCCAGCTGGGAAGGAGGACCGGGATCCCAAGGGATCTGATGTCTTGGCTCTAACAAGCCCAAGCAATTCCTGACGCTCGGTTCTGCTCTTGAAAGCAAACATTTGCCACCAGGCAGCTGAGTAGACCAGCAATAACTCTCTTGGGTGCAAAGATTTTCTAGGCAGCCCAAACTTGCGAGTTTAATCCCTAAATCATCCCCCTTTTTGCTATTTGTCCTCACTAGCTGCCGCCCACACACAACAACCTTGCTTTCCAGAAGTGAACTCGAGAGCAATTACACTTCCCTTATAGCAGCCTGCAGTAGTGTGCTTTGCGGCTTTTGCTTTGCTGTTTTTTCCCCATTTTGCGCCGTTAGATATCTCCAGCCTGACTGCGCTCCGGTTTGTTGTTCTGCTGTGGTCGATCGGTGTGAGCTGACGCTTTGGCAGGACGCCCGTTTCTGCTCCGCTGTGAGCAGTCCCAGTGGCCTGACTCAAGGCTTCCCACTGGTGACACTTTCTGTAGGAGCCCCTATGTACGGTGACAAAGCCAGCACCACTAAATGGAGTTTCCAGCAATTTCAGCTAATTCCAAGCTCAGTCACTCAAGAAGCCCACAAAATGAATGTTTCTTGCAGAATGAAAGGTAATTTTCTAGTAAAAGCTCTGAGGTTATCTAATATAATGCAATGAGTAATCTTCTTAAGAAAACTGCACCGTGGTAAATCACAATTCATTTGTTTTAGAGAAGGCGAGACAAGGTGCCAGAGTTGCTAAATTAGAGCTGCTTTGAGCGCTCCACGTTGAGTCTGCTGCTAAGCAGAGTCCGTGAGCAGGGGTCAGGAGCCAAGAGGCCGTGCCCATAAACAAGGCACATGAGCAGCAGCACGGAGCTCTGCTTCTACTGGAATCTGGCCTTACCAGATGCTCGTATTATTTGGAGACAGAATTGGGTTTCAAATTTTTATTAGTTACACGCAGTTCCGGTTGCAAGGTGGCCTTCTGTCTGCTTGTCTCATTTGTAAGTAAGTGCTCATAGCAGAAGGACCATTCTTTTTTCCCTAAATCTCACATCCTGAAATTCACCCTCCTGTGGAGAGGTGGCCCAGGGCCGTAGGCTTCCAGTTCTCTCCCAAACCTGATTTCAGATGCCTGGTGTTGGGCAGGCCAGCCTTGGCCTACTAATAGGGTAAATAGTCAATCTGAACCTAATCCTTGGTGGACCTTCTCATTCTTATGATGCTGTAGGCATGATCAACATTGATTTTCATCTGTTTTCATCCTCTAACTTTTGAAGTATTAGGTCAGTGTCAATACTAAAGGATTACAGATTTTTTTTTGCAGTTTTACAGGTCTAAAAGTTGTGCTATTTTTCTTGGTTGTCTCTCCTGGGCAACTGAGATCAAACTTCTTCCCACTTTTTTATTTTTCTGCTGCCATTTAAAAAGAAAATTGGCTTTTTTTTTGAGAGTTATGCTAGTGCTACCTGTTTCCTTTACTCATGTATATACAGACATCTTTCTTAAATAGAAGAATAGTACTATTTATTTAATAAAAGGGTGATTAGTTTTGTTAAACATCCATGAGCACTGCTAAAATCCAAGCAGAAGTGACGAGCCCGGTCTGCTGCAGAACCTCGGTCCTGATGGGGTCCTGCTGCCCCTCTGCCGGGGTGGATTCCTGCACAACGGCACCAAACCTGCAGCTTTGCCCTGCACAAAGGCAGTCAGGGGCCGAAGGACGAGCTGCGGGAAAACTAGGATAATCTGAGTCCTGTGGAATTCGAAATTTTCCTTTGTGCTAATTTTGTTTTTGCTCTGTCTTCCAGCTCCCGTGAACCCACACCTACGTAAGTAATTTTTTTCTTTATCTTTCTAGCTTTTATTCGTATGAAGAACTGTTGACACCAATGGTCCTTCACAGTTAAAAAAGTAAATGATAAGTGTTTTATTTTTTCACCGCGGGTTTCACCAGTCCACCTTAGTTTTAGGTGCAAGCTCTATTGATGGTTGAAGGGTGTAATTCCTCGTGCTCTGCCAAGGTGCTAATGCAAGAGTGGATGGAAGAAGGGCAAATTGTAGCTCCAGGTCATCTTGCTTCCTCGTATCTCAACACTTCATCTAAAGGAAAATACTAATGTGCTAAAAATAACCACAGTTTCTGTGGGGGAAGCAGTTCAGTTAATGGGAAAGTGAAAGCAAGCAAATGGGTGAACCTGCAACTTAGCCATGGGATTAGCTGCCTAAGTGAAAAGTTAAATATTTGAATAGCATTAACATTAAGCATTGAAATATCAAATAGGAACTGTATGTGAAGCTCCAAGGTATGGTCGAAATCTTCAAGGAAAAAGCTGCTCGTGAAATTTCCCAGATTCTTTTATCCTGACATGAGGTCTGCATTTATGTTATTTTGCTACCTTCTGACTTATTTAAGATCTTGTCCACAGCGTTAAGAGGATAAGAAAACCTCACATAACATAGTTTCTTCGGGGAGAACATAGGAGAAGCATAGACTTTATTATTTCCCCTGAGAAATATGGAGGCCAAAACTATAAGTAGTTTTATAATCCCATCCTTGCTATGGGGTGGGCTTGGGAGGTGGTGGCAGAAGCTCAGTATTCAGAACACATAGTTTAAAGCAAACCAGCCTTGAGCCTGAATCATGGCAAAGACGTTCTCAGAGATGAGAGGCACATCTGGCACTTTGTTCCAAATGCTTCGCTCGTATCCTCCTGTCCTTCACGGGCTTTTTCAGGGTCTTTACACTGTCTTCCTGATGTGGGGGGTGAGGATGGAGGTGCAGCCATTAATCTGCATCCCCTCACAGGCTTCGCTCGTGAGGGGTTTTGGATGCCATCCACAGCACGTGTATTCCTGATGCCTTGTTCTTTAATTCGCTTGTCTCTCAAGCAGAGCCACAATCAGCCCTCTGTTTGCAATTCCGCTCTGCAGTGTTTATGATGGTGCTCCTGTATTCAGTTATTTTGTGTATTGCCACTTCTTTGTCGTGCCAGAATTCAAAGATGTTGCTTTCTGAATCAAATCAAAGCAATCAAATCCTGAAATTGGCTTATCATCTTGAAGGCTATCAGTCATGCTTTCCAGTTAAGGAATTTTTCTTTGGAAAATAACGCTCTTGCCTGATCTAATAACTTCAGTGAATTTATTGAGAAATCAGATGAAGCTGCTGAGGTGCCAGTAGGCCAGGCAGTGTCTGCAGATTGCGTTTTTGTTGTAACCCAGCTTTATAAAGCAGTATTTTATGCTAACTGCTGGGGAGTGGGTCCAGTTTGTGTAGCCGTCGTTGCAGAGCCAGAAGCAGAATGATGAAGCTTGGCAGGCACTCCTGATGCACCTTGTGCTGTGGGATGAATTGCAAGCCTGCTTTTTCCACTCCGAAGCATTATAAGATTTCAAATAAGCTTCAGAGCAGCGTCCTTGCTTAGCAGTACACCCCGTGCTGAGCCCAGGTCCCTGTGTCTTCACTGATTTAGAGTGAAGCTCCAGTGGCTTAAATGGATTTACAGTTCGCTGAAACCCTAAACCTGCAAACATTTATATACCTCCTCAGTTTAACACAGATGAATAATCCCATGGCGACGGGTGTTAGAGCTTCTCCTAACAGCGGCTATAAATTGTGCCCTGCACGGCAGGCCGCGTGTGCCGCGCGGCGGGCGGGCGACCGCGCGCTCCCTGGAGAACAGTCGCTTGTTTTCTCAGAGACATCAGTTGACTTTGTTGGACAGGTAAACTCAGCAGGATCCCGTCTTGACCTGGCAAGCAAGGCCCGTTGAGTTGGGTGAGCTCTGGTTCAACACCAGAAGCTCCTCGTAAGCCTGTTCTCAGGCTTTTGGCCTCCAGGCCTAAGCTTTTAGCACTTGACCTCAAGGGTGTAGCAGAAATCTCAGCAAAAAAAAGACTAGATGTTTTCAGGAGATGATCCAGTCAACTGTCTTGACATACAGTTTCAACCAGACCTACACCTTCCTCGTGGGTATTTGTTTAACTGGTTCTTACAATTATCCAGTGATGGAACCTCACCTCCTCCTGGGCAGTCTGATCTTGTGCTTTGTTTTGCTGATTTTGAGAGAGCTTTTCTTCATTTCTATTTGAAATTTGCCTTGCGGTTATTTTAGTCACTACCTGCTTTATGGTCCCTAGTGAAAACTGAGCATAGTTTAGGAGCTATCACTTGGGAACAGTGCTTTATTTTTGAAAAGTTGCTCCACTCTTATCCCTAATGCTGTTCTCTCTAAACCAAAAGGACCCAGGTCTTACATTTCTCCCTGTAGTTCTTATTTCACGAGTTCTTATGTCTCTTCTCTTCAACTTCTGAGAAATGCTGCCTGGGTAAGAAAGACAGTGGCTTTAAGGGAGATTGTTGTATAAATCTGGCTGTGTGAATAAGATACGTACTCTAAGATTTGAATCTAATTTCAAGTAACACCAACACAGATTGATGCCTATGAATTTTTCTTTTGTTGCGGTCACTGCAAGAGAAAACACACACTTAGTGTTAGAGACTGATGTAAAATAAAAGTACCATATACTTTCTTGTGCTGCTAATGGGCGTCGTCCTGCAGTACATTCATTATAATTGGCAAGTCCTTTGACATACAACAGAATAGTGTCAGTCACTGAATTTATGTTAATTGACTCTGCTGTTAGGAGAGTTCCACTGTGGATTTGAGGATGGCAACATCTGCCTGTTCACTCAAGACGATACGGACAATTTTGACTGGACAAAACAAAGCACTGCCACTAGAGACACAAAATACACCCCGAACACTGGGCCCAACGCAGACCGCACCGGCTCCAAGGAAGGTGAGTGTTGTGGTCCTGGGCCTCCATGGGGCTCCGCGGGGATGAGCGTCCCATGTGGGATAGTGAATCCCGCCAGCTCCATTCCGGGTTGTGCTAAGGATGAGCACACTTCAGGACACCTAAAGAAATTGCCAGTGCTGAGGAGGGCGGCTGGTCCTGGAACAGCAACTCCTACCTTTGCCATTAAGCATCTCATATTGCTTCAGTGGGGCCGTTTGGGAAGGTGATTGCTTGCAATTACCATCTTGTGGGGAAACAGTCTAGCACATCTTGAAATATTCCTCTATTTTATTCTTCGATTTTATTCCATTTAGATTCTAACTTGGTGCCTCAGACTGTCAAAATGTGAATTTTTTGTCCCATTTTTACTTTGGGTATTTCTAAAATGTGTAATTTTCAATCTGCTACCCCTGTTAGCAGATGCATACCATCCTGGCTGCAGTATATATTTGCATTTGAAGTTTCAGACATATTGTGCCGAATTGAGCAAATACTGCAATAATTCATGCTATTTTATTGTATGCCCCTGCCTGTACTACCAAGAGGAAAAAAAGTCATATTGCATTTTATTTGCATGGTTGAATTAAGTAAATACTGTTTATGTCGTTGGCACAGTTCAGGACCAGAATAAATGAACCTTTCACTGAAAATGAGCTTTTGAGCTGTGATTGATATGGGCAGTTGAATATATTCCCTGAAAGATTTCCATCAAGATATTTTTCCTTTATTTTAGAAGTCCTCTCCCGCTCACTGTTTATCGAAACAAATTGCAAAAAATTGCAACTTTGAGACTGAAGTTGGAACCCTGTAATAAAGATCTTTTCTTTTCTTGTGCATATGCAATATTATATTGATTTGAAGTTCTTTATGAGCGCTACCCTTCTCACCCTGATTTTACTCTTGATAGCAAATATGCCTTTGAAGCAGCTGTGGAAAACACATGGGCATAAGGCAGGACAAACATGTCCCAGAAACCATAGTGGTGTCAGATGAATGTGAAAAATAAACCCAGATAATTAAGAGCCCTGGTGTCCGTCTGCATGAAAACTGCAACTTATCAATTTTCACTTGTGCTTCCCCTAGGTTTCTACATGTACATCGAAACGTCACGGCCCAGGCTGGAAGGAGAAAAGGCCAGACTTGTTAGTCCTGTTTTCAGTGTCGCTCCAAAAAATCCCTATGGAGCAACGAACACGGCCTATTGCTTCAGCTTCTACTATCACATGTATGGACAGCACATAGGTGAGAGAAAGCCAATGACCTTGTCACTTCAGTTCGGGGGAAAGAGCAGGAGAAATATCCAGTTATATTAACAAAAAACACAGGAGCGCTACCAAAGCCTGCAAAGACCAGTTGCAACAAAGCCTGGCAGGAGAGGTGCCTGCTAGCTTCCTAATTGCTCTAAAACTACTTCTGTTTTTCACTAAACAGCTCCTGAGCAGAAACGCCTTTTGCTGTTAGTGTTATGTAGGAACGAGGTTTTGAGCAAGGGAACTTGAAAGCGTGAAAACAAAAAGCTGGTATTTGCAGGGGCTTTGCCTGGCACTAGCACAGGCTTTGGAGTCACCCCTCGCTAGAGGCAGGGTCAGGCAATTAGCAGGAGCAGTTCTGCTCTGCTGGCACTTGTAGCAGCACATAGTGCACTGTGGAGCAGCACTCAGGGCCTTCAGAAAAACACTCATCAATTTGCTCAAAAGCAGTAGGAGTAGGTGAGTCTGTAGGTCCATTTTTAGTCATAACTCTTTCAAGATATACATTCAAATTTCAGTTTGTTTTGTTACTTGTCCCTGCACTACAGAGCACTTGAACACATGCTAATTTTTTTTTCACTCTCAGTTGTAGCAAGAACTTGCTTATTTATTGGAAAGGAGTGATGAGGTCGTGCCATATTTAATGGGGAAGAAAAAAGAAAAAGAGAAAGAAAAAAGCTTGTAAGAATACTTCTGATATCTAACAGTGAAGAGCAAGGTTAGAAACATGAAGGAGAAAAGTGTTTTTCAGGGACACAGTAGAACTGGGATAAGACCAACAGCCACAGAAGCTGAAGGCTGTTCACGGAAGGGTGATCTCCCTGATATGTCCAATGTGTCTTTCTTTATTTTTTACTTTTTCTTCCTTCTGGGCTACCCATTAAGGAGTCCCCATGTCCTTAGCAGCTTTGCTGAGATTGCCCTTACCTGCTTTATGTAATTTCTTGATCTAACATGCATAATCCCTTCTGATGAAGAAGTTGCCCCACTGGTGAAGGTAGTTACAATGATGATAGTGGTGATTGTCAGAGAGGATTTGTCTGTGAGTAACATGAACACCTACCTGGTAGTCAAAACCAGAAGTTGCTGAATTTTGTTTGTGCTCTTGAATGTTCAAAAATAGAGTTACTGTCAGTTTAGCTAATTTTTGAAGTGATCTGCTTTTGAATAGCTTTCTACAAAATTACTTATTATTCCAGTCTTAAAAGAGAAGACTGCAGGAAAAACAGCAAAGTAGTAGCATCAGCCATTAGCTTCTGCTTGAAAACAGGGGTCTACTGAATGCAACACTTGAATTCCTCATATAGCCAAAACTTCACAAAGCACATGAGGACATACATTCATACATTACTTAATAAAAACAAATTCTTTGAGTCTCCAGATATGAAATTTATTATGATTAAATTGTTCACATCAGAACAGTATAAAAGAAGAGAAAATAAATACCTAGTGAATGATGATATTCTAAAATTTCAATGATGTTACTCCTGTTGATGAGATAACTACTTGAATGAGTTTTTGAACATTTGTCATCTTCGCAATTACATTGGTTTAGGAAAGGAGTTGTTATAACACAACAATTTGGCCAGAAAAATCAAACCTAATCATTATGCAGTGATTCAGGTGGTGTATGCTTGGCAACCCTGGTTTGAATGATGCGTTTTACATAAGAGCTCATTGAAGTTCTTTTATATTCTTGCTACTGGAAGTTAAATAGCTAAAAATATTATCTTTCATTCTGGCAAAAGCTTGTCCTACTGATAAATCTGATCACATTTTGAACAGCTACTTTAAAGCTGAAAACTATTGCAATCTAATTAAACACGTCAGAAGTTGACCTCTTGTGCCTGCCTTCAGAGCACAGAAATCATCTCCACCCAAGAAATGGTTTGTCACCTAAAATATTTTGTAAATAGATTGAGGAATATAATTCATAGCTTCATGTATTTCTGGGTGCAGTGCTGGGCTCCCCGGGATAAACCAGACACGGGACCATTCCACCCGGAGCAGGGAAGGCCCCGGGGGAAGGTGGTTGCAGCAGTGACCAGTGCTCAGAGCACCCTGCGCTGCTGCGCGTTGGCTCTCCGAGCGCCCTGGGCTCGCTTGGCAGGAAGCTGCCATGGGAGAAGCCCTCCTCCTCGATCCGCGATTCCTGTCCCTGCTCTCCTGGAGCCCACGTTGGCTCTCCGAGCGCCTTGGGCTCGCTTGGCAGGAAGCTGCCGTGGGAGAAGCCCTCCTCCTCGATCCACACTTGTGATTCCTGTCCCTGCTCTCCTGGAGCCCGGAGCGGCTCTCCGTGCGCAGCCGAGCCCTGGGCACGCAGCTCCGGGCGCGCAGCGGCCGTGCCGCGATTCCCAGCCCCGCCAGAGCACGCTGGGGCTCCAGGACCCCGCGGCGTGGGTGGCTTGGGGAGCCCTGTGCTCCCCGCGTTGTCCCCAGCCGCCCGGGTGACTCCTGCCCCGCTGGCTCGTGCTACCGGCCTGCGCTTCGTGGGATGTGACGCAGGGACGCTGGTGCTGCCGCAGTCCTAAAGCTCTGTAAGGGCAGGATTTCACTGGCACGTTACAACAACAGCAGAACTACCAGCTTTTTACATGCAGATCATTTCAAGCACCACGAGCTGTAGCCCCCGGGTGCCCTAGGGTGCGTGTAGGCCGGGACAGGCTGTTCCCACCAGCCGACGTGTCTGCGGGGCACGGGGATCCTTAGGAGCGGGCAGGAGGTGCAGGGCTGCCCGGCTGCTTGCAGGGGATGCAGAGCGGCCTCGTGGGCGCCCTGGGGAAGGAGCCATCAGGAGAGCGTTTGCTGCTCCATTGCACACTTAGCTTCGGGTTTTTCAAGGCACTGACTTCTGCTATCGCTGGAAAGAGGTTTTTGTTAGCGGGAGCGGAGCCACTGCAGCTGCTTTAGATTGGGAGGTTTCAGTGCAAATATAACTTGTATTTCACACCCTTTGCTCAGGAGAAAAGGGGCTTCTTGCTGATCCAAGGGGAAAGCCTTGCTTACGCCTTTCCAGCTGCTGTTCCTCACGCCCTTGGAGACAGTGCTCCTGCGAGAGCTCGTCAGCTCGCAAATCCACACAAATGTCACCATTTGCGTAGTGCGGAGACAGCCCTGCCCTGCTCGAGTGCCAGCACAGTGAGGAGCAGGAGGGAACGAAGCCTCCAAACTTAAAGCTTGGCGAATTACTGAATGCTGCTAAATGAAGTTGAAGGGTTTTTCCCTTCCCGGGGCACCAAAGCAGTGTGTTTTGTGTTTGTGTCCAAAGCAGAGAGGTAAGCCAAGGCACAAGGAGCACTGCAAGGTTAGGGATAGGGTTAGGGCCACCCTTCTTTCTCTGGAAAGGCTGGTGACGTTCTGAAGTCTTTCCCGAGCGGCTGGCAGCGACGCATGCCACGGGAGGACACCTCCTGGGGCGGTCCTGCATTCCCAAGTCTTTGCTTCCCATGTTGGCATTCCACCAATTTATGGATTTCCCGGGTTTAAAAGCTTCTAACAAGCAACTGCACACACATTCCTCAGTCTGAGACCCGTGTGGAACAGGAATCAGGGCAATAAGCCCCAACGGTGGCCAGGAGTCTGGGAGCCACTTTGCAAACATTGGTGTCAGCCTAGGAGGTGTCCTGGGGCAGGACCTCCTCAGGCCTCTCGCTTTGGTCGGCTCTGCGCTTCTGTTTCATCAAAGAGTCCAACCAATTCCTGTTCTCTTCTTTTAGGAAGCTTGAATGTCTACCTGCGGTTAAAGGGTCAGACCGCAATAGAAAATCCATTATGGTCTTCAAGTGGAAATAAGGGACAACACTGGAACCAAGCCCGGGTTAATATAAACCCCCCAACGTCGTTTCAGGTAAGAGGTGAGCTGCGTTGCTCTTGCTGGGTTTTGCAGCAGAGTGACAGACCCACAGTGCACGGACCCCAGAAATGGAATATTTGGGTTTTTGTGGGGAGGAGCATCATGCGCGTGGCCTGACACAGACTTTCACAGTTTCACTGCAGCTCTGCAGGCTGCTCTATGGGCAGGTAACTGCTCTCAGTGTTGCAAACAGGCAGGAGAGCCTCGTGCCGCACTCTCTAACGGCAGGACGCTGCTCTTTGCTAGCAGAGTTAACTCTCTTCCCATCTGCCAGAGATGTCATTAGCTTCCGTAAAGCATTTTTTATTTCAGATTAGCAAACGGAGTATATAATTACTTTGGGTGGAATATAGGTGGGAAACACGGCTCGTGTTTGTGTCAGGAGTGTCCTGAGCTCTGCTGAGCCGCGAGCGGGCGCGGGAGGCGGCGGAGCCCGGTGCCCTCATGCAGTGCCCTGGCTTCGCTTGCCCTTGCAAGTTGCTGCACGTTCCCAAACGTTTCCTTCCCACCTTGCAAGCTCTGCTCTTCTCCAGGCTTCCCTCTCCTCTCTGCAACGTCCGGGTTTCCAAACAGGCAATGGGCAATTCCTGGTGCTCACGGATGGATTTTCCTTTTGCGCACTTTTGGCAGGGGGGTTATTTGGCACATGTGATCAGAGGCATCGCATAGGATTAAACAAGAGGGAAAATATATGAGAGGGATAAGCAACATCTAGCATGACATGTTTTTGCAGCTGAACAACGAAAAGTGCAGGGAAGGGGAATGAGAGTGTTGAAATGCAGTCGGAGTAAGGGCCTGAGCACCAGGAGCCCATCAGGGTGCAGGAGTTTGCACTGGTAAAGCCAGGTCCAGGTTTGGATGCCGGATGTCCCCCTTGGGCTGTGCACTCACTGCCCTTTCCAAAAAGAAACGCTGCTGGCTCATTCCTGGCGTAAGTGTCTTACCTCCTTCTTCCTCAAAAGCAGGTTCATTGGCAACGCTAGCAGGTACACAAAATGGAAACTCCTTTATTTGCTGGTTCTTCTCACTTTTATATTGTTGTTTTAAAGGCATAAAATGAATGCAAGGCCGTGAAAGTCTGCACAAATAACAAAATAAATGTCAGAGTGGTAGGAACATTAAATTACTTTTTTAGCTGCTCCTGCATCAACCAAACTCTATTTTCCGTTTAGGAGCCTAAATAGGAATGAATATAAAACTCCTAGTTAAATTTAAGGCAAGTGAATCGAAGTGAATCTTTGCAGTAAAACAGTACACTCACACAGAAATTAAAACCTTTTATAGGGTAATTTGTATGGGTAAGTGTTGCCTGGATTTGTTTTACGCCCTCCCAGTCTCCGTGATATATAACAAAGCTCTGTCATGAAGAGCTGAGAGCACCACAGTGCTTAGAATCAGAAAACATCTTGCAAAGCCTCCGTAAGTCACTGACTTATTAAATATTATTAAATAGAAGGAGAATAAGCAGAAACAAAAGCATATGGAAGGGAGATGTTGCCTGCTGGCACCTGTGGAGTCCTTGGTTTTGGTTCAAACCAGGCAGGAGCTCTCAGCCCCTTTCAGCTACAGTTTCCTCGAGGTCTCCTTGCGGCTGCCTTGAGGCCTCTCCATCGTCTTGTCCGTGCACACGACCAGCCCCCGTAGCCAGAAGTGGGAAGAAATTTGTCACTGAACAGCGGAAAGGAGAACGGGATCTTCTCCATCTTCAGCCCTGGGAGTGGAACTTGCCATGGCTTGAAACTTAGGGAGATGCGAACCGAATTGCAGCCAGTGGGACAATCTTGAGTTTTGGTCTTCAGTCTGATCAAGTAAAGGTTGCTGCAGATCTCTTGTATCAGAAGTATTCCATTTTTTGCAGCTCTAAACGTAGACTTTAAGATTTTCAGGTGACTTGATTTTGATCTTAGGTTAATGGTGCCAGCTGCTCTATTTGGCTTGAGATGTTTTCCTCCCTGAGTCGCAGCTAGCCTGCCAAATCCTGCTGTGGCTTGGGGCAGGTTGTTCAGCATGAGTCATTTAATTCCTCAAAACAAAGGAGATTTTTTTGCAGGGATTTGCCCATAAATCAGTGATTTGCCCATAAATCAGTGAAGGTATGCTTGCAAAATGCAGTAAATTCTAGTAAGTGGAGAATGAGGACAGCTGGCCCAGGATGGACCCACCGGAGGGAGTAATATTCTCTGCAGAGCAGTTGTAGCTCAGGAGCTGGCAGCAAAGCTCCACTGAACGGCTGCCAAGCCCTGCTGCTCGAGCTGGTATTCCTGCATCCCCGTGATGCTGGGAGCCTCAGCCTCTTGCAGGGCCAGATTTTGGTTCTGGTCTCCCCTGGGCTTCTCAGACAAATCATAGAATCATAGAATCACAGAATGCTCAAGGTTGGAAGGGACCTCTCGAGGTCACCTAGTCCAACCCCTGCACACGCAGGGTCACCTAGAGCACGTGGCACAGGACTGCGTCCAAGCGGGTTTGAAGATCTCCAGAGAAGGAGACTCCACAACCTCTCTGGGCAGCCTGTTCCAGGGCTCTGGCACCCTCACAAGTCGCTGAAAGAGCCATTTTCAGGGTGGCAGTGGGTGGTTGTCACTTACTGCTGCCCCACTCAAAGCAGGCTGAGACCTGCAGCCTCTTCCAGGGAGTGGAGGGGTGTCTAGAACCAGTGTGTGGTGGTTGGCTGGGGAGAAGGGAGGGCTGGGAAGGTAGCCTTAAAATGCAGCCCTGTCATCACTGTTTGCAGATGGGGACAGCCTGGCATTCATTAGGGAACCGGGAAATTATCCTGGAAAGTAAAACCTACATGAAACTGTATGAAGAAGCATAAGGTGAATTCCCACTGAGACACTCGGGATAAATCTGTAAGCACTGTAAAGAAAATTTTCCATTTCCCTTTAAAAGAGTAGAGTGGCCTTGGGTATATTTGTACGTTCTTCCATTCTGCAGCTAAATGCCGGGTTTCAAACAACAGCTTTGTAAAATCCCAGGCATGCAGATAATAGCTTTTCTAGAGGCCACTAGGAGATCCTGATCATCTGGCACCTCCTGCCATAACTGGGAAGTGCTTCATGCACTGCCAGTGTTCATCTGCCGCGATTCGTTCTGAGCCTGTGGCCAAGCTGGCTAATAGCAAACCATCCTGGAAACCTGCAAGGCCTGCTGCCAAATGCAGCTTTTAATTAAATGCCGGCCATTGTATTTGTATAGAGTCCTTTTGTGTGGAAAAGAGTGTTTTTCATTAGCAGGGAGGCTGTGCCTCCGTGTTCCGTGATGGGTTGTCTGCCTTCTGCCAAGGAGCACGGGTCGCCCGTGCGTTGGGGAGAAGAGCAGAGCTTTCACTGAATGCTTCCTATTAGCGGGGACAGAATGGAAAAAGGTAAGAGGGATAATTACGTGAGACATTGTTTTCAGACAACAGGGGAAATTATGGAAAAGCTTACACTTTCCCCAATTACTGCTCCCTGTTGCACTAATATCCGCCTTGTTATAGTAATTAACCCCCAGTAGCACCCGTTGGTGAGACAGCGCTGGAGCCTGCTCCGAGCGCGTGGCTTTCACATGCCCTTGGTGCAGCCCTCGCAGGACACAGCCCGCAGGGTGCAGACGCATGAGCTGCTGCTTCCAGGTGTTGCCTTGTGCTGCGGGTAGATCCTGTGCTGGAAATACACAGCCTGGCAGATGTGTGCATGGGCAGAGCGGGGAACGGAGGAGTTGGGAGCTGCAAAGAGCCAACCTGCACCCGCATCCATGTCCGGCAGCACCAGCGCCCATCACAGTGCTCCCCGTGCCCCTCCAATGCCATTAGATTATGACAAAGTATAATTTAAGTGCTTTGTTCCATAGGGAGGTTTTTTTTGGTTATTGTTGTTCAAATCGAGATTGCCCCGGAGAATTAATTTCTCCATTTAGTGCCCTACTATCCCTTTATAGAGTTTATTGGATATCGTGCATATATTGTTGCAGATTAAAGTTAAAAAAACTTGTCATCTGAGTTAACCAAAAGTATTTCAAAGGAACGAGGAGGAAAGGGGAGTGGGGAGATATCTGAGCAAATGATGCTGCTTGGGAAATATATTCCTTACATAACTCTCTTCATCGCTATAGAAAGGCTTTGAAGTTTGCTAGTGAATAAATTTCCTGCAACACAGAGTGGGTTTGCGATTCTGTAGAGCTAATGAAGGCAGCAATTTGGCAGGACGGGATCACAGCAGCTTTGGGAAAGGAGAGCGGATAACGTTGTTAAAAAGAGAAGGAAAGACCCTAGAGATCTGTGCCCCTGTCATGGCACAGAGGTACCGAGGAAGAAAGAGAAATGTCCTGGTGGTGGGAGCTGGGAGACTTGGTGTTTCTCAGCTAGTTCTGAAGCATCGAGGTCTCATAGCCCATCCATATTGTGCTCCTGCCTTATCCACTTGTGGGAACTCAGTTGTGTTTTCCAGCACCATGGAAATTATTTTTGAATTGCTCCACCCCTGTCGCTGTAGATGAACACGTCGCAAAATGCAGCTGTGCGTGGTCCATTCGCCCTGTTTTTCCCACCTTGTGACAGGCTTTTTCTTTGCTTCCTCCCAGCTCATATTTGAAGGGATCCGCGGCCCTGGCATTGAGGGCGACATCGCTATCGATGACGTGTCCATCGTGGAAGGGGAGTGTATGAAATCAGACCAACCGGCCAACAGTAAGTGTCACTTCCATCCAAAGCAGGGAGAGCAAATGGTTTCTGAATAAATACATATATATATATCTGGGATTGTAAATGGGATGATGTATATAAGTATATGTTGGCCAAGTTTCTGCACCCAAGAGACTCCCCCAAATTGCGGGGCGGCCCCGAGGACCTGGTGAGTCCTTCATGCTGGTAGTAATGAGCTGCTTCTGACTTTGCAGAAAGTGCCAAGGACTGGGGTTGCCCTTTCAGGCTTAGTGAACCTGCGTCCCGCATGCTTATTCCCTCTCTGTGACTTGGGATGGGTGGATAATGCAATAACAAGAAGAAAGTTTGCAGGCAGCCAGGATGCCCCTTGTCTTCGGGACCTTGTAACAGTGCCGTTCTCCTGCACGGGCAGCTCAGTAATTCTACCTTTTTGCCCCCTTTTTGTAGATCTACGATCAGGTGCTGTTGGGACATTAGCGCATATACGACTTATCCCACTTCTCATCCTCATGTCTGTCTTAAGTCAGCAAAGGTGACCTTACCCTGGCAGAGGCTACAACAGATTCACCAGGCACTGGCACGAAGAAAGAGTCTTTGTAAAGCGGACATTTAAAAACAAACTACCAAAGATTCCTCCACTGACTGACTCAAAGGTTAAATAAATACATAAATAAATAAAAAATAAATAAATAATAATAAAAAAGCACTGGGGACATAAAAAGGCATCACGGGAGTGTAACTCACTACGAACCACACGTGAGAGCGGTTTCTGGCCCAAGGGAGGAAGAGACCTGCAGGTGCTTTTGTGGTCAGCACCCAACACGGCATCGTCTGGTCGAACTCTCGGAGAAGAGCTGTAGAAACCCTTGTCAAAGCACAAAGTCATGGCTGGTTTTGTTTCAGATGAATAGTTTGCTTGTTACCATGGAAACCTAATGGCCTGCCAAAAACAAAACAAACAAAAAACCACAAAAAAAAAAAAAGGAGAGAGAGAAGAGTTAAAAGAAGCGAGGGCGAGAGCAGCCCCTCACCGTACACAGGGTATGGAAGAGCTGGCGCTCGCGTTCCCCCTCGAGCAGGTTTTTGGCGCGGGGCCAGCCGCGCGCGGGCCCTTGGGGACGCTCTGCTCCGCCGCGCGCGGGACGCGGCTCCCCGGCGCCTGCCCGCCCGAGTCACCCGCTCCAGCGCCGAGAAGAAACCAAACCACCGTCTTTTGTAAATCGCCATGGAAACCAAGTGCCTTCAATGAAACAAGCCTGATGATTAAAAAAAAAAAAAAGGAAAAAAAAAACAAATGATGATGATGA